GATCGCCTGCACTTGTTTGACGTCAGGTCACTGAACCTGGGTCAGGTGATCTAATCTGAGGGCTTGGTGGCACTGTGGAAGGGTCACTGTCATCGCAGGTCTCTGGAGGGGGTTTGACACCCACCCTCCAATTAATGTGTGAAGGTGGCATGGTCTCCACCTCTGGGTAGCTGATTTCATAAATATGTATTGCCCTGATGTGTGCGTGTGTGTGGGTGCACTTTCTTGGGTGTGTGCCCCCTTCAGGTTATATGCAGCATCACACCCTGTGCTAGCTGGGGTATGCCCTGGATCTCTGTCTGTAAACCCCTAGTTTTTGGTTCAGGTCCCAGGGGGGCCTTTGAGTGGGTACTTAACCCAAATTGCAAATAGGCAAAACTGGAAAGGATTTGTTATAAGAACGTTTGTTTAGTCAAGTACCTCTGCCTTAAAGAAAAGTGAAAAAGGAAGTATTTAAATGCTGCTTATAGAGTCTGTGAGGTTCCATGGAGGCTAACTGTTGCTGTATGTGCTTCAGGACATGTGCCCTGTGTCTGTGTGGCACAGGGCCGCACACTTCTTTCAGAACGCCGTGTTACGGTCAGCCTTGGGTAATAATGGACGGTCCCTATAGCTGCTTTGCTGATGTGTGTCATACTGTCATTTTCCTGAAAAGATGGTGATTCTCTTTGGGGATTTTGCTGGTTTTAGCCGGCATGTTATAAAAGATTACAGCGCTTTCAGGGAACCGTATTCCAGTTTAAAGACGGGATGCGGAAATGATAACAAGAGCGACGTCATTCTGCAGTGACGCTGGATGTCACCGCAGTGCTGGGAACACGGCCATGCGACTCGGACGACGTTCCGCGGCTAACCCGCGTTTCTCTGTAACGTGTGAACACAGGGCGCCTCTCGTGTCGGGTGATAGACCCCGCGACAGGCCCGGCAGCATGCCGCCGCCGTTAAAATACCCCTTTAACCGTTCTGGTCTCTTCCGGGTCCTCCTTTTAACACCCGAGGTTTAGTGCATGCTGCAGATGTCTACTGGAGACCCTGAAAGGATGCACTCATCTTCTGAGGATGCTACTCCAATGCACCCCCACCCCCTGGGTTTCTGTTTGGAACCGGAATCACTTAGAGCATTAATTGGCTAATTCCGCTTGAGTGCTTCTGAAGTGGGGGGCGGTGTGGAGGCGTGATGGCGAGTGTAGGCGGACCGTCCGCGTTCCCAGCGCTGCTAGAGGTCCCGAATAATGTCTGTTTTGGCATCTAGCGTCCCTCTGCCTTCCCTCTTTCCATCCACATTGACACACAGGCACTGAAGGGGGGCCCTGGCGACCCACGTGGGGAATTCGGTGTTTTCTGCATTGGGGGGGGGCCTGCCTGGCACGCAGCCAGCCAAATGTCAGTGAGGCACAATTAGGCCGTGTTCCATGGTGGCCTTCGTCTAGCTCGACCTGCGGCAGCCTTCTTCCGGGAGAGTGTCGTGATGTTCATGTGATGTTTACCTATGATTTCAGATCTCACATCCGACAGAGAATTTCCACATGCGGCCTCCATAACTAAAGAATAAGATGCTCTCCAGTGCTAAAAATGCTCCTTTGGTCATTTTGTTAATGTGTATTTAAAATTGATTTGATTTTGTAGATTAGTTCAAAAACGCACCTATCTTAGTGTCTATAAATAGCTCATTGTGTGTGTGTGTGTGTGTGGGTTTGCATAGATCACATTTCGGGACCAAAATGTCCCCAAAGTGTGATAAAACCTGAAACCTTCCTTACTTTTGGGGACATTTTTCAGGTCCCCATTTGGATAACCTCAATTTTATAAATATCTGTGAATGCAATCAAAAAAAGTTAAAATACCAAAAGGCTTGTATTTTGGGTAGTTATGGTTAAGGATAGGGCTGGGTAGGGATTTGGAGTTCTGATTGGGATTAGGGTTTGTCCCATAGAGATAAATGGAAGGTTCCATTTTTGTGTGTGTGTTTGCATAAATCACATTTGGGGACCAAAATGTCCACAAAGTGTGGTAAAACCTGTTATTTTGACATTGTTGGAAATACCTTTTCAGTCCCCACAAGGGGAAACTCAATTTAATAAAAATCTGTGATTGTAATAAAAAATCTAAAAATGCCAAAAGTCTTGTATTTTGCTTAGTTACTTATGATTACGGTTAGGGCTGGGTAGGAGTTAAGGTTGTCATGTTGTGATTAGAGTTTTCCGCATAGAAGTGAGAGTCCCCTCAAAGATATAATTACAAACCTGTGTGTGTGTGTCCTGTGGCAGCAGAGTGTCAGATTTGTCCTGTGGTTCCTCTGATAGGCTCACCATGACCCTGAAATGGGAAAGCAGGTATGGAGTATGAATGGCTGGAGGAAGTCATACGTCCAAATAGCTCACTCTGTGTCGGTGTAGATGACTTGCCAATGAGACATGTGACTGCGGCCCATATCCACTTCCTGCTTAGATTTTCTGTGGGCCCTGTGCTATGTCTCTGTCGGAGGCTTCTAGGAACAAGAAGTTGCTTTTGAAACATACACGGTTATGCAATGGAAGCAGCAATATCGTAGCTGGGGGGCATCTGCTCGACACGGGGGACCTGCAAGGCAGGGAGGCACCTGCACTGGATGCTGTGCACCTTATTATGAATAACTTTCATTTAGTTTTTTATCGACTAAAGTTCAAAATAAAGGGCGAACACTAAACATTTGAATGTGACCCTAAGCCGGAGTGTCAGGATGCGTCAGTTGTACCTTCATGTCCCCTCTTCATGTCCCCTCTTCATGTCCCCTCTCCTTGCAGGGCCTGAGAGAAGCCACCTGCTGTGAGGTTGATGCCCGACGCCACGAGCCCGCCTTGTGTCCCTGCGGTAGTTACACACAGCACCCTGCAATAGCCATGAGTGCAGACCCCGGGTGTCGGGCCGGCCCGGACCCCGAGCCCCAGGCGGAGCTGGCCGACCGGGTGGCGACCGTCAGCCTGATTCCCCCCGAGACGAGCACCGGGGCCAGCCTCAAGAATGGGGAGGGGGGCGCCGAACCCAAGAAGCCAGGCGGACGGCCCCACTTGTCCAGCAGGAAGCTGTCCCTGCAAGAGCGAGGGACGTACGCAGCGGCCGGGGGCACGGCTGGCACCCACGTATCCCCCAGGGCGCCGCGCAGGCCCACCATCGAGTCGAAGCACGTGTCCATCTCCGACACCCAGGTGAGGCTCGGAGCACGTCCTCACTGAGAGACAGTGTAGGCCAAGCTAAGGCTTCTGTTTCTGTCCTGTAAGCTGTACAGCTGTAAATCCATTAGCCATACCGCTACAAATCTGTCAGCCATACCGCTACAGATCCATTAGCCATACTGCTTCAAATCCGTTAGCCATACCGCTATAAATCCGTTAGCCATACCACTACAGATCCATTAGCCATACTGCTTCAAATCCGTTAGCCATACCGCTACAGATCCATTAGCCATACTGCTTCAAATCCGTTAGCCATGCCGCTATAAATCCGTTAGCCATACTGCTTCAAATCCGTTAGCCATACCACTTCAAATCCATACCATCACAAGTGGACAGCATCTCAGGGCACAGCCTTTGCTGTCTTCACCACAGGTCAGGTGCAGAAAAGCCTGATTCGATGAGAAAATGAGTTCATCCATCTGAGCAATAGCATATACTTATGATGTAGCTGAAGTGCAGACCCCGGTTCACCTGTCACATCCATCAGCTGTCAGTGCTGGGTGAGTGTGGCCAGGACTTTGTGATAAAGCTGCTTCCTCATCACCCTAAGTTGCACTGGCCACTGAGCTGCTCTATGAAGATACCAGGGGCAATTTATGTTGCTTAGACAAATAAAACATACAAATATATATAATTTTATTAAAGGACAGCTTTGTTATCTGCCTTTATCTCCATTGCAAAAGTCAGCCGTAGCTCCTGCGAGTCGATGTCATGCAGACAGACCCCTCTCTTTGCTTCCAGTGGAACATTTAACAAAATGTTTGCTGTTGTAACAAAATCAGTGACATTGGTTTGTAGGCTCTTGTTTAAAGGGAACTGGGAAAGCACTGCTTGCAGTGTGAAACAGCTGCAGAACCACATGAGGGAGGTGCTGCCTGCCTGCACCCCCAAGCTCGACAGCGGTTTGATGTTCCCGTTTGGCACGTTTCGGAGGGGGACTCTTTTGAAAGGGATGACATTTCTGTCCATGAAGGGTAACGGGATTGAAGCCGTGGCAGCATGATGTTCTGATCTATCCAGCATTTTCTCTCCTCTGTCCTCCCCCACTAACCATAACCTACAGCCCCCGCCTCAGCATTTTATACCGAAATCAGGGAGAAAGGCCAATTTTCAACCACAAATGTCTAAATTTAGTGTATGTTTTTTGTCTCAAGCAAAATTGTTTCTGGCATAGCAACAAGCTGTGTACCCAGAGCACAGTTCAGTGAGAGGTGACATCTAATTTAATTCATAAGGAGGTTTTAAGACGTCACCGCTAATTTGGTCCGACCGAAGACAGCATGTCAAAAGAGCGCTGTGAGTGGTTGTCACATGTTTGTTTCCTTGTTGTAAGTCGTGTCCCTTCAATTATTTAATACCTCTGAATTAAGGACTGGGTCTGGCAGGACAGTGTGGCATAATTTTAGCAGCAACTTGAACATATACCGTGCGTGACGTTAAATTAACGTTTGCAAAACGGAGCTGCCATTGTATAGCTAGTAGCGGTGAGGGACAGATTCTGGGGTTAAGCCATGACTTTGTGTCCCTGGACATCCTGCAGAGATGGTGTCGGTGTATCAGTGTGTCCCGTCAGTAGGCCAGGAAGGCGGGGGTGGCGGCATTGTGGAGTCTGCATCGGCACAGCTTGAAGTCAGTAAATGCAGAGTTTTTTCAGTTTGTCTTGCATAACATGGACCAGTTTCACATTTAAGTCTGCATATTCATTCATTTTTCCTAAGTGAGACTAAAAGCACCAGCCGCGGCTCTGAACGGTGCAGAGTGAACCTTCCCCCTTGTCTTTGGTCAGTGATACCCAGAGACACCGTTCCTTGGAGTCTCACCACCCCTGAGCGTGTGGTGTATGGATGAGTTTCTCAGCGCTGTCGATTTCTGCTGGTGTGAAACGGTGTCATTGTTCTCACCCCCCGGCTGAGATGGGTTCCGGCAAGCAGAGGACAGACCGCTGGGTATCGATCGTCCAGCAGACTGCCTCTGGCTGAGAAATTCAGTTACCAGTGTCTTACCAGGAAGTGTGTGTCCGATTGTGTGTGTGTGTGTGTGTGACTTAGCAGCTACAGATTTCTCTCTGTAGAGGGGGGTGTTACGTGGCATTCAGGTTGAACCGTAACAGACATCAGCCAACATCATGTGGTCTTTGCCATCATGTGACACTAAGACCCTCGCCATCTTTGTGGTGGATGATGTGGGTCATGTGACCTGTGTAGTGTTTGTCCTGCTGAGGACGTCCTCTTGAATTGTGTCTGTCCCGCCGTGTGGGGTTCAGTGACAGCCACCAGCGACGCTGCTTGTTTACAAACACTAAGAATAACTGTGCTGTGAATTATTAATGTTTTTTTTTCCTTTCCTTGTTTTACCGGTCTGCTGGCTTGGTGAAAAACATCAATGGTGCCTTAAGTAGCACATAGAGGTATGACCAGGCACACGGGCGTCCTAAGGTTCGGGGATTATAAATCTGCCTTAATGTGGGGGACGTGAGATTGGCCATTTACAAGGAGCTTGAGTAAAATGCCTCTATCTCTCCATTAAAATGCTGTTTGGAAGGCGGGCAGGGTGCTTTGGACGAGGCTGGGGGGCCGTCTTTGATTTACAGCGGCCTCTCAGAGTCACCCCCCCCCCCTTCAACACTGAGCGCGTCTCGCAGCTCAGGAGCTCCACCATGGATGCTGCACTCTGCCTCCTCATTGGACAGCCAGGTCATGGGGGTGCGGCCTGTCACTGTAGGCTGAATATTCGGAAAATACAGCGTGCTGCCTGCCACGTTGCTGCTCCGTCTCCCCGCCCTGTTTAGCTCCCCCAGCGTTAAGTATGTAGCCCACAGCATCGCTTGGGTTCTCAGTCACCTTTTGCCACACTGGAGCCCTCCACAGGTGTAGAAGCTCCTGCTCTCCAGGCCGTGTCACCTTCCCTCCTCCGTGTCTGTGTCCCTACACCCCTTTCCCTGCGCCTATATCCCTGCGCCTGTTTTCCTGCATAAAAGCACCCCTGTTTCTCTCTGCAGGACTGCATCCAGTTGAACCAGTACAAGCTTGAGAGTGAAATTGGGAAGGTGAGTAGCTGTATTTGTAAGGGGTGCTTTCTTCCTGTGGTGACTCTCTTTAGCCTTAAAGGTGAACGCATAGTGTGGCTTTTTCAGCCCTGCTTCGTCACCCTAATCAGTCATTTATAAAACATGGTTAATCAGCTTTGTACATACAGCTGATGTCGGCTCAGCTCCCAAAGCAGATATTCCGGTTTCTCCGATAGTGTGGGGCTCCCGCTCGCTCGTGATGTCCCTCGATCTGATGACAGGCAGTGTTTCTCGTGTAATCTGCTGAGGCCTTTGCCCTCCTTTTTGTCTGTGCCCCCGTGTTTATGTAACGCGTCCTTTTGGGCCAGGCAGGCTGAGGTTCCTATGCTCTTACCGCGGTAAAAGGTCCCGGAAGCGGCTGCCTGACGGCCGACCTCCCCCCCTCTCTCACGCAGGGCTCGTATGGAGTAGTGAAGCTGGTCTACAACGAGGACGAAGATAAGTATTACGTGAGTATTCGCGGGCCGGACAGCAATCCGCTTGGTGCAGTGTGGGCCTGCTTTCCGTCTCTGCTGGGAACTGGGCCCGGTCCTCCCACTCGAGGTCCCTGTGCTGGTAACGCAGCCTTCCCAGCTGCTCCGCCTGCTGCCCAAGCCGGCTGCCAGCTGAGAGGGGGTCTGGGTGCCAGCCACAAAAAAACACACCCCCCACCCCCACCAAGTGGCCAGTGAGTCTGTGCACTGGACCAAACCCAGCTCTCACCCAGATGTAGAAGGCTGTACACATCAGAAACTTTATGAACAGAAACTGTTACCCTTGAACAGATTCTTCTTTTTTAGGAACCTGATGACTTGCTTTTGTCCCCACAGGGGGGCCGTATGTTTAAAGTGTTAATTATGCCCCCTAGTGGCTCTTCTGAGGCCCCGCTGAGTGCCGATCAGGGGTCGTTTTAAGCGAATTGTTTTGAGCGTTTCAGAGGGAATTTCGTTTAAACTGCATCTTGGAGACTCTGGTCTCTAACAGATGAAAAGGAACGGCTGTTACTGGGTGCCCTAAATAATTGACCCCTCTCCCTGCACCCCCCTTCTCCCACCCTCAACACACACACACACCACATACTATAGATTTTAATGTTCACAAATGTACCCACTAGCAACATCTGAAATGACAGCGAAATGGTAGCTGACACCTCCTGCTGGCACCTCCTGCTGACACTCGCTTTCTTGCCGCCCTCGGTGTGAACCTTTATCTCCTCACACACCTTAGCACTCCAGGCTCACTGTCTTATCTCCACCTGGGACCGAATGGCTCCCAGACACAGCTGCTCCAATCAACTGTGACCCTCCATGTCATGTGACCCACAGTGTGTAAACGTCCCAGTCCAGTGGAGGAGTGTGTTGGAGGACGGCGAAGGCCGGGGTGCCTCTCACAGCTGAGATGGTATCTAAGGAATTAGTGAATAAAAAAGTTCATAAAATTGTGGCACATTCCAGGAAACTACATACCTTATTGTTTTTTTAACGAAATCCAGAAGCTGGGAGAGGAAAGCAGGGTGCTTTTATTTTTAATTTTGTCTCCATGCAGCAAGTTTAATGCACCGTTCCTGTCTCTAGATTTCCTAATTGCTTGTATCTTATTATTTTTTAGGCAATGAAATTAGTTTCCAAGAAGAAGATGGTGAAGCAGTGCGGATTTCCCCGTAGGTTAAATGTCGTCTTATATTACGGAATAAAATCTCTGCCAGGTCATTTGTAGCATGGCCTCGTCACCTTTTTTAATGGTAACACTAACCCTGTATCTGGGTCAGCGCCTTAATGACAGTGTTTCCCATGTGACGTCACGGTTTTGCTGCTGATGCCGAATTGGCTGTGTATCTGTAGGCCGCCCCCCGCCTCGTGGTGCCAAGGCTGCCCAGGGAGAGCAGGCCAAGGTCATGGGACCGCTGGAGAGGGTCTACCAGGAGATCGCCATCCTGAAGAAGCTGCACCATGTCAACATTGTCAAGCTGGTGGAGGTGGGGCTGGCTCCTAAAAATACAAATAAGAAATAAGCCCCTCCCGTTCTCTTACTTGTCCCTCCCATTCCAGCATTTGTCCCTCCCCTTCTCATTCTCCCATCTGTCCCTCCCATTCCTCTGTTTGCCCCTCCCCTTCTCATTCTCCCATTTGTCCCTCCCATTCCTCTGTTTGCCCCTCCCATTCTCATTCTCCCACTTGCCCCTCCCATTCCTCTGTTTGCCCCTCCCATTCTCCCATTTGTCCCTCCCATTCTGCTGTTTGCCCCTCCCATTCTCATTCTCCCACTTGTCCCTCCCATTCCTCTGTTTTCCCACCCATTCCCAGTTTGTCCCTCTTATTCCTCCATTCCTCTATTCTTCCTGCTGATACCTTTCTGATATGGAAATGGCCTCCCGCTGTTTATGCCAGAGCCAGAATAGACGGGTTCTTCACAGAGGGATTCCCTCCCTCCCAGGCAGTGCCTTGCTGGCAGAGTGCTGTGTAGCCTGCAGGTGTAGCTCTGGTGCTAACGCCATATGCTAATTCTCTGAATGGCAGTGTGTGCCTGGCCATGCTTTGTCTGGGTACACAAGGCTTATTTTTGTTTTGTTTTTAGTATCAGTTGCCTGCCTTAGCATATTCAGTTTCACAGTGACTCCATAAGATAACAGCTGAAATGCTGAGAAGGCTGTAAGGCCCCGGAACCTGTATGGCTCTCCCACCCCACGAACAGCCTCTTTTGTGGGAAGGTAAAAGGAGGGTTCTGGAAAAATAGCTTGGAAAGCTTATGGCAGGAGGGGGACCTGTTAGCAGCTGCTGGCTCCTGTGCGATGTTGCAGGATGGGATTGAGGGGCTGCCATCCCGCACCGTGGCTACTGGGGATGTAGGTTGATTGTGCCTTAAGTAGCACTCTGTATTAATGGCCACCTCACATTGGGACCAAGGTCTGCATGAGGTTCAGAGTGTCCAAGGTTCAAAGCCAAGATGTTTGGCTTGGAAATAAGTGCCTCCCAGTCTCCCTGGAGGCCTCATTAGGTGGCTCGCCAATCACGGTCAGACGCTGAAGCAATCAGGCGGTAATCAAGAGCCGCCGGTCGGCAGGAGTGCAGGGCAGGAAGTCGCCAGTAGGCAGGAGTGCAGGGCAGGAAGCCGCCGGTAGGCAGGAGTGCAGGGCAGGAGCCGCTGGTCGGCCAGAGAGCAGGGCGGGAAGCCGCCGGTCGGCCGGAGTGCAGGGCGGGAAGCCGCCGGTCGGCCGGAGTGCAGGGCAGGAAGCCGCTGGTCAGAGGATGCCTGACGGGCTCCTTCCTCCACTGGCTTAATGAGCCTGACGGTCGGCCCCCGCCGGGCTCCCGGGGCCGGCTCCCACACCAGTTCTGATTAACCCGGTCGTTAGTGTTAAGTCAGGTAGCCAGATCGATTTAAGAAGCAGGGCTGCCGCTTTCTGAGGGCTGCCTCTGCATTTTCTGAAAGTCCATTAGTGTTCGTATAATGGCAGACCTTTTAAAAGTGCACCTCCGTATGTTAATGCTTGGGGCTGCGTGTGAGGATTAGGTTTGCTAATATGCTTAAGTCGGATTTATGCAGATGTTTAATCAGCTGTGTGTGTGGGAGGGTCATGATAAAGAATTTGTTATTTTGAAGTGGGGACCATTTTTTTCAGTCCCCATGAGGAAATTCAATTTTATAAATATCCATGGATGCAATTTCTGTGAATGGTTAAGGTTAGGGTTGGGTAAGGGGAAGGTTGTTATTACTGGGATTAGGGTTTTCCTCATAGAAATGAATGGAGTCCCCACAAAGATATGAATACAAATGTGTGTGTGTGCATGTGTGTGTGTCAACCAAATTTCCCACACAATATAATATAGACCTGTTTTTTTGATGCTGTATAGACCATTTTTCAAGTCCCCACAAAGATCTGTTAAAGTAATCAAAAACGTAAAAATGCCAAAAGTCTCATATTTTGTTTGGTTACTTACTGTTAAGGTTAGGGCTGGGTAGGGGTTAAGGTAGTCATGTGTGTGTGTGTGTGTGTGTGTGTGTGTGTGTGTGTGTGTGTGGGTGTGTGTGTATGTGGGTGGGTGTGTGGTCCCCGGCATGACATGAAAGGTATATCAGTGAATCAGTGTACCTTCCAGACGTTGGATGTCCTCTTTTCTCTGTGCAGGTTCTCGATGATCCGTCTGAAGACAACCTCCACATGGGTGAGTCACTGGCCGAGCGCCCCACTCCTCTGCTGCTGAAAACACAGCGGGGGGCTCGTAGATTCAGCACATGGACTGGGTCCTGCATTCACACGGGGGGGGGGGGGGGGCACCGTCCATGTCCGGCTTACCGGACAGCCTGTCCACTGCGTGTTCTAGGCTCCAGGAGGGGGGGTGGGATCCGCTGGGGAGGTTGGAGAATTGGAGGAAGACACCTGCCAGCCTCTTTGAGTAAGGCAGGGGGTATTTGGCCTCACAGCAGGCAGAAGTCAGGGCTGCTGTGTTCAGTTAAAGGCACTGGACCGCTGGTGTTACTGCTGCTGTATCCAGTTAAAGGTGCCCCACTGC